GGTTACTGTGTAGTGAGGTATTTGCTTCCCCCTAATGGCCGCTGGCTGACATAAAGGCTGCTAGCTGTTAAGGGGGGGAGGGTCACGAGTAACTTTCACACAAATTTATTAACTACAAAAGATAGATTTTAAGTGATTATAAGGGATAGCAAAAAGATCAAAGCAGATTAACTAGCAAATAAACAAAATAGCAAAGTAAGCTTAATATACTAAATAGATTGGATATGAAGAGCAGATTCTCACCCTAAGTGATGATACAAGCAGGCTGCAGATTCCTAAGGGGAAGCTGCACTTGCTTTACAGCTTGGAATCCCCAGATGTTCCATTCATAAGCTAAAAATCCATTTAGCCTGGGTCCAGCACTTTCTCCAGTTCAGTCTTTGTTCCTCAGGTATTTCCAGGAGTCTTCTTGGGTGGGGAGTCAGTGAAGAGCCAAGATGATGTCACTCCTCTGCCTTATATAGCTTTTGCATATGGCTGGAACCCTTTGTTTCAAAGCTTGGCTCCCACACCAGTTAATGGAAAAAGACTGACATCACAAGATAGAGTCCAGCACCAGGTTGACCTGGTCACATGTCCCTGTAGAGTCATAGCAGCCATCCCCCATGGGTTGTTTGGAGCATTTACAGGAAGGCTCACCAGGTGGGAGAGAAGCTTCTCCTAAGGCTATTGTTTCTTCCTAATTGCTCATTAACCTGAATGGGCCCTTCCAAGCCAGCCATCTAGACTGAGAATAATTTGCCTAGTGGGCGTTGCCCAGGAATAGCTACGTGTGAAATAGATACAGTCAATATTCATAACTTCAGATATAAAAATGATACATTCATATGTAACCACACACATCCTGCGTGTGGTGTTCTGTCCCATGTAGTGGCACCAAGACCACTTAGAGATTAATGAGTCTGCTACAGCCTGAGCTAACAGCCATGTGGCTTTTAGCTCATGCAGTAGAGGCTCATGCATTTAGTCCAGTGGCCCCAGGTTCGATCTCGCCTGCCCACAACCACGTACAAATAGGATAATCATATTCAGCCAATCATAACCTTTTCAATGACATCTCACATGACCCATCTTGCATAAAATATCATAATAACATCATTATGAAGAATATGGGTGCAGTGTCACAACCAGCATGCCTAGTGGGCAGGCCATGGCCTATCAATTCCCCAGTACCCCTGGAGTTCTCTCACCCTGGGAAGGTGGGAAGGTAGGGGGACCTAGGTCCTCCCTCTCCATTGGGTCCAGCTCAGGGCCCAAAGGGGATAATGTCTTGGTCACCTCTTTCCGGTGCATCTGACCAGCATTCCCTGGGTTGCTTCTTACCTCCCCACTCTCTCTTCAATTTGGGGTGTGGTAACAGCCTGCTTTCTCCCCAGCAGGAGTTCCCAATCAGTCCCAGTAGCTCAGTCAGTCAACTGAGCATGCCCCAGCTCTCTTTCTAGTGTCCAGTAATTCTCCCTGAGCAGAGAGTGCGGGAGAGGAAAAGGGGCAGGCCTTTATCTTCCTAGTTGGGTATTACCCATGATCCGGACCCTCTCCTGTGGATCAGTTTGTCCCCAGAAGCTGAAAACCAGCTTCCTCCCTCTGGAGAGCTTAAGGGGACTGAGTGGCTCCATGGTGAGACTAATAGTAATCCAGAGCATACATTTGTTACTGGCTTTGTGGAATCTAATTATATAATTATAAAACTCCAGTTTGGGGTGTCTGCCCTGTTTTCTGACAGTCTGACCTAAGATTGATATGTGACCCACAACTGAGAGTGCCAGACACCAGGACTCCTCCATTTGGAATTTGCTCCGCAGCTGCTGAGGGGCAGGGCCCCACTGGTCCAATATTGCTCCTTCACTCCCTTAGCCCAGGTCTACACTATAAACGTACGTCGCTATAAGTATGCTGCTCAGGACAGGTATACTGACTGAACTCCCCGTGTAGACAGCGCTATGACGACAGGAGGGCTTCTCCCGTCGACTTAGCTCCCACCTCTCGGGGAGGTGGAAAACCTACACTGACGGGAGAAGCTGTCCCTTCAGCGTAGGTAGAGTCTTCACTAAGCACTACAGTGGCACTGACGCAGCTGTGCTGCTGCAATGCTGTAAAGGTAGACAAGTCTTTGTATGGGGTCTGTAAATCCCAACACAAGCTACATACAGTTCTGCTAACCTCTACTAATAGTGTTAATGTGCAGCATTGCTTGTAGAAGTTATTTTGTCTGAAAGGTTTTTCCCCCCCCCCTCTTGAAAATTGTATACATGTCGCCAGCCAGACAACAAAATCAGAGGTCAAAAAAATAATACAACACATTTAGCCTCTGAAAACCAGTAGCAGACACAACCCTATTAAAATTCCATCAAGCGGAAAGTCCACATAGCATAATAGATACAGAGTAAGGCAAGAGAAGATAATGGAGTTCATCAGGCATAAACAATATATTAAAAACGATTAAGTCATCAGACAGTATATTCAGAATAAAGTCATATTAGCATTAGACAGATACAGTTTGGCCAGATGCTCACTTCTTAATTCCACACAAACAATGCCGCACTGCCGAATACTTTGGAATGGGCACTTCAGTTTTGTGTGTCCACATCATAATTTTTTAGTGACACTAAATCCTAGCAAATAAAATAATTAAAAAAAAAGGCACTTATTTGGGGATTTCCATTCTACATCAAATTCCCCTTCCCTATATCAGACAGACCTTGAGCACCGTTTGTTTAATTTGAAAGCAGAGATGAGAATAAATAAAGGAACCATATTCAAAAGAGAAAGTAAATGCTAGGCCATATTGACAGTTTTACAGAACTTGCTTTCCCCAATATAGACATGAAGTATGAGCTCCAGTTTCAGTAAATCCTCTCTTTAATAATGGGAGACAACTCAGTGAAATATTTCCCACAGTCAGAGAACATTGAAAGTCAGTGGGCAGATCCTGGTCTCCACTGTGGCCCTTGTTTACACTCCTCTGAGAGCATATAGGACTTGTAAAGGGAATACATAATAGCACCTGGAGGAATTTTCCTGGTGCTGAAGCAGTTCTGGGATGGTGAATATGCTCCTATGCTACCTCTCAGTTCCAGTGTAGAGGCTTCTGGGAACACAGAGCCTCCCACCTATTCCGTGCTGCACAGCAGCCCTTGTGGCACTCACCTCATGACTGCCTAAGTCAGAGTAGCCCCTAACAGTGGCGGTGATTTTGCCACTAGGCCACTCCAGCTTCAAGCCACTTTTACCTCCCTATGTCCATCTTTCCCCTCTTGTACTTTGGCTTCTCTATTCCACTTCCTAAGAGGTTCAGCAAAATACCTTACTCAGTATATTGGAAATCCAAGAGGAGTTAATCGGAATATCAGATATGAAAAGATTGCTTTACATACCGAGGCAGGAGAAGGATCCGTAATATCTCAACAATTTAAAAAAATACATTGTGGGCTACCAAAAATAGAAGGTCCGATGTTATTCAGAGTATGTGTGCTATAAATACAAAACCACAAAAGGTCTAACTACAGAAAATAGAATACAACAAGCCACACAGTACTGTAGTTTGCATGAAATCTACCTGATAATGGAAGTGATTGTAAAGGATACAGTCATATCTAGAAGGACAGAAATACCAAACTAATGTAAATGTCTGACAGAATGGAAAACAATTACAGAGGAACTTTGAAAGAGGAAGTGACAGCTTGTTGATATATGCAAATTATTAGAACTGGTTGAGAATTTTCCATCAAAATGTTATTGTTACAGAAAATGTTGATTCCCCAAAATCAACATTTTCTGAGGGTAAATTTTGTTTTTGCTAAAATGTCTAAATTTTCTGTTGGGAAAATCCAAATCAAGTATTTAATTTTTGGGTTGGGTTGTCTTGAATTGAAACATTTCAGTTTGTCAAAGCATATTGAAATATTTTGGTTTGGGTCAGTTTGACATTAATCTGTGTCCGTCTGAGTTGTTGTGATGCTTCATAAGAGTTGTAGGTAACTCATGCCCCTATTCTCCCCCATGAGTGAAGGCCCGACAACCTACCATGGAGTCTTCTCTAGTTGAATGCCATGATACATCATGGACGTCCTGTGAGTGTGGTGAATCATGGGAGATATAGTGGTCTGGACAATTAGTCTGGCCTATAGAGGAGAACGGGGGCCTGAGGAACCCAAGCTACAGTTCCCACGAGGCACTGTGGGAGGTCAGGGGAAGCCCATATTAATGTCAAATTGACCCATATGAAACAGGTTGTTAAAACATGTCAAGAATGTTAAAAAATTGTTTTGGAAATGTTTTATTTTGACATTTTTCTAACAAATCAAATTTTTGGAACTTTTCTTTACAGATTTTTTTTTTAATATATATTTCAACTTTTTGTCTCATTTGGGAAAAAAACACAAATGTCAAAATATCAGAATTTTCTGTAGGATGAAAATTCTGATTTTCGATAATCGTTAACATGGCACTGTAGGCCCAATTTTCCTCTAACTAATACCATTTCAAATAAGGAGTTGATCCACTAAACTCAAGAGAATTATACTATTGTACAACTTGTGTATCAGAGATGGGAGCCCATGGCACTAACAGTGTAAGTGACTGATGCATTTGAAAATGCATTTTAGGCTTCCAAGTAATTTAGGTACTTTTGAAAATGTTATCTTTTGTCAAAAGGATTTACAAACCTAGTGAGAGAAGAAGTTATCTGGCAGGTGATGAACAAAGAGCCAGGATAAAATTTAGAGAATTATATAGGAAGGTACATGGGAATATAACTAGGGAGTAATGGAATGGGATGATATTGAGCAAAACAAAATTTTGGCAAATATCAGTAGAAATTTTAAAGACTAAATATGATTCGACTGTGCAATAAAGTCCCAAGAGAAGTAGTAACCCTTCCACACTTCAGTTCTTTGGAACTCAATTGCCTAATATAGATGGCCAAATACTTTACAATGGCAGGTAAACATCTCTATTTCACAGATGTTGAAATTTAGCCACACAGCATGACCTGCCCAAGGTCAAACATCAGCTCAGTGGCGGAGCCAGGAATTCAATCTACGTCTCTTGACTCTCAGTTCAGTACCCAAAGAACTGGAGATTATATGGAAGCATCTGAATAAACAAGGTGAGATCATTTTTCTTTGAATATAACAACATATATATTTTATTAAAGGATAATGCCAACAGTGCAAGATTATTCCATCAAAATAAAGGAGACCAGAATTTAAAATATTGTCCAAACAGATATGCTGAAATTCCTTTGGTAAGAGTTCAATAAAGTCTTAAACCTCCTGCATCTCACAGAGAATTGGTCCAATGAACAATAAATAATGTCTAAAAGCATATGATGCAATATTATTTAGAAACAAGAGTCCAATGTCAGGACAGATTTGAATTCAATAAAGTTGCACTATTTTATATGCTACAGATGGAGATGTGACTGAAACCACTGTGAATATTTATCCTTCCGGCCAAGCCACTGGTACCTGATTAGGTCAGCAGGTATTTCATACTTGGATGCCTTAGATAAAAAAAGTTACACTTCTGGAAGAAAAAGTTTGAGACACTAGAAATGATCAAATGGATTCTGTTTACATTACATTTATACAAAGTTCAGATTGCAAAATATGTACCAAAAAGCATAAGCCAAGCTCTCCAAGCCCATTAGCTGGCATCAGACCTTCTCTGTTCACCTTCTATAGGACGTCCTCCATCTGTCTCAGCCTTCTCTCCTTCATTTCTTGGTCTTCTCTAAATCTAGTCTCTTCTGTTACTTTCAGATTGTAGCAGTAACACTTGCTTGGTACATCTTTATTCTATATTCCCGTGCGGATCAAGTTCAGCACCATCCTGCAACTCTGACACCAATGGAAACTCTGTTGTATCTGAATGAAGGGGAGAAACCACAATTCCTTAGGTCTAAGACACTTGTCACCATAGTACTCCCAAGTAGTAACAATAACAATGTACAAAAAAATTCTCCCTTCCCCAGTTGTAGGAATAAAACTTGAATGGGTAATAGTTTGAGAGTGTGTGTGAAGGTAACTATGTATGTGGAAAGCTATTGTGAGAACATTGAGTCAAGCGATGGGCTTTGAATTCATTTCTGAACACTGAAATCCATGGCTATTACCCTACCATATGGGCAGTTCCTGTGAATATTCTGTTTTTGGCACTCAAACCTCATGCTATTGGCTGATACATGCAATAGTTCTATAGGTACATAGCTGTGGAGGAACGTAATGGTCATGAAGGCAGAGAGGCGATCTTTCAGGTAGTTCAGGTCAATGCTCCTGAGCACTGAGAATATTAGCACAGAGACCTTTAACAGTGCAGGGTTGCTGTGTTGCCAAAATAGACAAACTTCTGCATTTCTACCAGTTGGAGCCATTTCAGGGTGTGATGATGCTTGTGTTATAAATGATAAGACGCAGTAATCAAACCTGGAAGTCACAAACAGATGGATCATTAGGGCTAAATCTCTGGGATGCGGGGCCCTATCTACTACAAAAGCAGATGTCTCCCCTAGAGCTGGCTACAGGAAACACAGCAAAACCACTTAGCTTCTACATTCCCTTCTATCATCTCTCTAGCCCCACTTATATAAAGCTAGTGGTGAAGGGGAAGCATTGCAGTATGATTAGGAAACAACCCTGCAGTAGCCGGACCAGGTGACCTGACGGGTCTTTTCTATCTCTAAACTTGCAGCTATGATTCTATGGAAGTTGTATTTTGGTTTTCACTTGGTCTTTCATATTATTTAATACAAAGCTGTCACCAACCAGTACTGGGTCTGAAGAGCACCATGGTGCTATTTAACATGAGCTAATGATGTACTCCCCAAAGGATTTTTCAGGAAGAGCAAACTGTCAGTGCAATTACTAGAAAGCCTACCTCAAAATATTTCTGATAAGGAGGTGCTCGCTCTTCCTTCCTCCCAAGAGACAGGTATCAAAAAGCAAAGCACTCAGATCAAGGGGCACCGCACAAACTGGAATAACTAAGCATTTGCAGGGATTATATATATACACTACAGCAAAGAGATTTCAAAACTAATTGGAGAGAGAAGTTAGGATTTGAAGCTAAAGTTGGAGCCATAATGAATATATAGATAAGATTAGATTAGATATCACACTGCATGGCTGATTTCATGGAAATGAAGTGAAGGAGAGAGCTATGGAAGTAGAATTGGCTGGAAATATTCTGAAGAGAAGTTTTCCACACACTCAGGGCTTGCAGGCTCCTAGCAGCCTGCCTGGTGGGCTGTCAAGGAACGGGAAGCCTTGGGAACCCTGCATCTAATTTCCCAGGGCTGCCAGTCTCCCTGCTCCTCAGCAGCACACAAGGAGCAGGAAGCCGGGAAGCCTAGGAAATACGGGAGCATATTTCGTTTCAGAGATATTGTTGAGGTTGGTGTTTCTGAAACTGGAAGTCCACAATTCTTCATTTCAAAGATTTTGGATTTTCAGCCTGATTCAGGACAAAGGTTTTTATAGAAAAAAAAATTTTTTTTTTTCATGGAAGTCCATTTCCTGGCCAGCTCTTTTGTGATTTCTCATCACAAAACAATCAGCTGGATGAGAAGAGACAGGATGAACAAAACAGAGGCTTGAAAGGGGAGACTACACATCTGAGCTGTTACAGAATCAAACTCTCGTGCCCTCAAAAACGTCCTAATTTGATCCATAACTCTGTAAACTCAAGCTATCTCATCTCTGTCCTCTCTCGTTCCTTCACCATAACTGTTCTCTGCATCATGCTTTGTTGTATTTAACTTAGGGATCAATATTGTAAACACTAGCAACATAGCAATTACTACTCTGAATGATCCCACTGAGGTCAATGGGAGTATCTTTGTGGGTTTGTGCCCCTAGATTGTAAACTTCATGGGTCGGCTGAAATTCTGGCTCTACTGAAGTCAGTGGCAAAATTCCCATTGACTCCAATGGGGCCAGGATTTCACCTCATGTCTTTAGTTTCTACTTAAAGTGCCATGCACATCTATGACATGAAATACAAGTATTAAATAATGATGTCTCTGCAAAGAGGATAGTCAATCAACAGTAAGGGTCCAATTTTCACTGAGCCTCATTTACTGAGCCCACAACATTTGCAAGTCTTATCTATTTGCATGTGAAGTTCAATTCAGATTTCACAACTGGATAACCTTTACAAAACCCTAATCTATGGGTACATACTTGTCCTCTATGTTTCTCATCCCATAATTGAGAATGATAATATTTGAAAGTACATAAGAGATTTCCTTTTAAGATCAGTTTTCTCTATCCAGAATCCTAGCTTCTAGAAAAAATCCAATGTTCTCAATGACAACTCTTACATTGATGATCATTCTAATGGGGAAAACAATTCAGCATTCATTCAGACTATAATAGGTAAGTGAGACACTTCCCCCCCCCCCCCCCAAATATGCTTCTGGTCAGAGCCGGCTCCAGGCACCAGCCGAGCAAGCTGGTGCTTGGGGCGGCAGCTTGTAGGAGGCGGCATTCCGCCCAATCCTAGGGCGGCATGGCCGCTTTTTGTTGTTGTTGTTCCGCTCCGGCCGCCCCCTGTAGGGGCCAGCAGCGTGGAGGACGGGAGCGCCCTGCAGCAAGCCCGGCAGGGCAGCCTGCGTCCTTCCCTCCCAGCCGACCGGAGTGGTGCGAAGCCCTCCCAGCAGGGGGCATGGTGGGAGGGGCCGCGTGGAAGCACCTCGCTGAAGTCCTGGCCACCCCCCTTCTCTCTCTCTCCCCGCTCCCTCCCCCTTCCCCCGCTAGCCAGGGCACATCTGCAGCACAGGGAGTCCCCCTGCACCCTGGCTCTGGCCGCGCCGCAGGTTTTTTTTTTTGCTTGGGGCGGCCAAAAAGCCAGAGCCGGCCCTGCTTCTGGTATAGGGAACTTCTTAAAATATATGTTTTTGGGAAAGATATTTTAGAAGTGTTAAAAAATCGTAGAATAATTTATATTATAGATAGAATAATTTATAAAATGTCAATATATTCTGGTGTCTCAAGCTAATCTGCCTCTCCTACCTACGCTTTGCTCCAGAATTCTTCCCATCTTATGAATACATGATGCTGCACTCTGGGTTGGCAAAAAAGATAGCTGTTTATATCCAATATGGCATACTGCAGCAGAGAAAGTTATGATGAGTCTCATTCATTGGGTACATGGCTTCACTTCTGGACTCAAACGGGAGAAATAGGTACAGTTAATATACTGTGACTGGTTTGTCTTTGTGAAACATATAGACTCAAACAAGTTATATTGCTAATAGCTGAAGAACCAAGCAGCAGGATATTACAGGACAATATTTTATGGGGCTTTACATGCTTCATGTATATTCAGTCTCTGGATTCAACCAGTGAAGGGATGTTCTATAGCCCCATAAAACACTCTTAAGCCAGATTCATTCCCAGCATTGGTGGTGCAATTCCATTAAAGCCCATGGAGTTCGGCCTGCTTACACCAGTAGTAAATTTGGATCCCCAAATTCTGATGATTAAGATACAAACCAAAACTGGTTCAGGAGAGAGAGAACCTTCAGTGGAATGATTACCATATACCATATTGCTCAAGTTCCACACAGTTCAATAAATGGAAGCAAGGTTCCAATATACAAACAATTCTCGATTAGCTGGTAACTGGGTTGACAGTTTTCTCAAGATATCTAGAATAATTCAGAAGACGTGTGTTGCCAGTGATCTTACTCCATTCTTAACACATAAATTAATGGCTGTTAGTGCTGAACATATGGTAATAGTCATTTTTTCCTCTTGCTTTTTAGATAATCTGGTTGAGCCAAAACTTTAGAAACAAACCCTGAAATCCTGATGGACAGAGGGTCATGCTAATTTCCTCCTTGATGAGTTTATTACCCATAAAGTGAGTAAATTAGGATTAACCTATAGAACTACACATATACTGACCAGTGTGCCAGGAAAGTGGCAGCGATTGGTCAAGAAGCTGTGGTGGAGCTGTTTTAAATGCAGTTTTTCCTTTGCACTGTGCATAGGTTAGTAGATGTTAAATTTGAGCTTCCCTCATGTTTTCTTTATGTGTAAATTACAACCGTTATATATTTTCATATTTGCTTTCTTTAGGTTATCCTTAGGTAGAACTCTACCTCTGAGTTAGAACTTAACCGGCAGCCAAAAATGATGAACCAAGAACTCGAAATGGGGTCACTGTGCTGTTGGAGGTGAAATCTTTGTGACGACACAGCAGATTGAGGCCCAAATACTGATGTTCGTTAAAGACAGTCATTTTTCCTGATCAGATCATAAAGTACACAGCTGAGGAAGGCTACAACGCTCATAGGTGCTGGCTACATTAGCTGCACCTACACTAAAGTCAATGCATTTGCATCAACATGCAAGCAGAGTTTGTCCCATTTTACATAATTTATGTCTCACTCTGCTCTAGTCATAACACCGAGTTTTTTGACCTTTTTAATATTTCATGTTTTGAGTAGCTAGGAAGATTCTTCCCCACAGATTACAAAGGTTGAAACAAGAGAAGAACTAAAATGTCCATTGACTCAAATTAAAAAAAAAGACAAAATAGCGAAAGCAATTAGTTAAAGCAACACTAATTAATACAAAATATGAGACACTGTTACAGATTTGATCTGCTGTTCAAAGTGTTAAAGTTCATAGTCAATGCAGTTACATACATTAGTCTACAGATAAGTACATATTTATTCATAGACATACGCAGAAACAAGCTTGTCTCTAGTGCACGTTTGAAGGAAGCAGTCTCAGCGTGAATCGGAACCAATTAAAAAGTGCTTATTGATTTCACAGTGGAATGAATGTATAAACCAGTACATTATGGGCCAGATTTATTTGTAAATTCCAGTGCTTTGTACTGCTCTGCTGATGCAAAACAGCTGTAGACCACCTGAGTTGGTCATTTCAGATGGTTTTACTTCTGGTATCCAGAAGATACTTACAAATCTGCCCCTAAGTGTATAACAAAAATGAAAAAGTAGGTCAACCGCAAGCACTGACGTGTGCACCATTACGTTTTGTGGTTTCATAAACGTATTTTTGTACTGCATGAAAGATGGATAGAAATCCTGTTTCTGATAAATACACATCAGACGTGTCAGTCGTGTAAAAACCATTCTATTGCTTAAGTGATGACAATTTAATAAATGTGATCAAGATGCAGTAGCTATATTTGCAAGGGGTCTTGGTATTGTACTGAACTAGTGTGCATACATGTGTGTTTGCACACAACTGCCTTCTATTAGAATCAGAAATGTTCATATATGTTCATAGGCCCTTAGTGTAACCCTTTTGGGGTTTAGAGAGCATGGCCCCTTTAAATCTTTTTCCTGGGGGGAGGGAGAGAGTGAGGAAAAAAGGAGGGAAACTCAAGGGGGTGACTCTGAAGCTGAGAGGGAGAGAGAAAGTGAGGCAGCAGAGAACCTGCCTGAAGCCTGGGAAGGCCAGGGCGGCCGATCAGGGACACCCCAGGACAGGAGCCAGGAGAAGCACTGTGCCAGGGAGGAATCGCCCGAGGAGAGGCCGGATCTGGACCCAGTATCACGGCTGCCCAGAGCTGCATGGGGCTGTGAGTACTGGGGCTTGTGACTCTGCATTGGGAACAAGGAGGGAGGTTGCTAGATAGTTAAGTGGGGAGGTGGTCGCTCAGTGTGGCTTTGCAGAGAGCGGCAGAAGAGGGCACCAGAGGGGTTTGTTGGGGGAAAGTTCACTGGTGCCGAAGACGACCAGGAGCACCCAAGACTCACCACTGGACTGGAACTTTGCTCAGGACTCCTGAACTCTGTGTGCAGACACATTGCTCAGTGTCTGCCCTTCCACACTGTGCTACCACTGGGCCCGTGGGGCCTTGGTTTGAATGCAACCCTGTTTTACTGCTCTCCCTATATTTCCCCTTGTTATTTTTCTCCTCTCATCCCTCTGTAAATAAATATCTCCCTTTCTTATATCCATTGTACTTTTCGTGTGTGTGTGTGTGTGTGTGTGTGTGTGTGTTCTCACTCTGGGGGGGTTGGAACAGGTGCCCTTGGGGTGGAAGGGATTTTTCCTGCTGCATTCCTGCGCGCACCTTCTCTTGGCCAGAGCTGCCTGCAGAGCAGACTCCATCTTGACCATGAGGGCGCTAAAGTTACATTAGTGCTAGCAGCTGGCAGAAATTCTTCTGTAGAGGAGGGGTGTGTGCTTTTGGAGCAGGAGAATCTGGGTCCTCTCACCACAGTTATTAAGAAATTTGAGTGACGATAGTGTGCAGTATAGACTCAACTGTGAACTCAGATAGCTATGGATTTGATATAGCATAATCAACCACTTACAGTTGTATAAATCTTGTAAATGTGTGTTTTAATGTACAGTCTATTCTTTTCTGTACGAGTACATTAACTCCCACTGAACTCTAAATTTATTTTTACTAAAATGAAGAAAAAAATAACAACCCACCCAACAACAAATCCTCGCTACTACCCCAAATTGCTCACCTCCCACGGCTCTGTTGCAGATCACATTTTCAGAACCACAGAATTTACTGTTGTAATTTCTACTAGGAGGGCAGTACCGCCAAACCCAGCCGGTCAAAACTGATGTGTTACACATCCCCCTCAAAATCCCAAGATTAACTTAAAAATCATATTATTAAAATAATAAAATGTTTGGCTCTTTTTGTTTGCCTTCTGCTTTTTAGCCTTTAGGGTTCATGTTTTCCTGAAACTGATTTAATTTTTTTTAAAAAAATGAAAGCAGAGATTCTCCCTAATCACTTAACTCCAGGAGCTGGAGTTTTAGGAAAAAAAACACCCAATATTGCCAGACTTGCAATAAAATTGCAAAAGATGGCAATACTGGAATGTGCAGGAGTCGTGAATTCATATTCCAGCTCCGTCTCTCCCCAGATACTACCGGTAGCTGCTGTCAAACTATACCATCTACGTTAGCATATTGAGTGGAATAACTGCAACAGAAGGGCTCCACTACAGCTCTATAACCTTCCTGTGGGCTGAATGTGTGTGTGTGTGTGTTCCATGCAAAGTCAGATTATTCATTGATGAATTTCAGACCAGGAACACATCATTCCATGCTGATGAACACAATGCAATAACCTAAATAGTATACATTCATTGTGCACATTTTCACACACATTTTTAACACTAGCACATATACACAAATGATAGACTTTGCATACGCAAACTCATGCTCTAAAAAATGACTATGTAAAGATAGCACCTTCTTGCCCAAAAGGTCTGCTCCCTGAGTATATTTAGCATCACACCCATTTATTTTAGTGACTAATACAAGGCCATGTCTACATGATGGAGATCATACTGTCATAGCTATGGCACCGTAGCACTGACTGTAGCGACACAGCTATGTTGATTTAAATTTTAAGTGTAGCCCAGGCCTGAGTTTTTAAAACTTTTCACTCATTAGCCCTGTATATTTGTAAACATTTTGGGGCAGAATTGGTCTGTCAGTACATGTATTTTTCATACCTAGCACAATAGTAACCTAATACCCAGAGGCTAGTGGGCTACCACAGTACAAAAAATAATAAATAGAATCAACAAGTTCTGAGAGAGTGAGCTAGATTCTAACTTGGCTCATGTATCATGCGCAGAATTGTTAATTGCGTTCCAGCTGTAGAATTTTTATTGCTGACGCTGTGTGAGCCTGAAAGGACTCAGTTTGACTTGGGGTCCAGATAGAGCTTAATTGGCTGGCAGTTAGAAAACTTTTTTATTTTTACATTTCAGCAGGTTTCATCTGGAAATCATTGAGAAACATGCATATGATCTATCAAGTCTTAACACGTTAAGCAGCTCTAGGATAGCTCTCCCCAGGTCCAAATAAAAATACCAGTCTATTCTCTATAAACCAGTATACTCCTTTAAAAAATGTTTTATTTAAGCACAATAGACTAACTGGCCTTGAATGTAAAAAAATAAGAAACTGTGTGTGTGCGCATAAGTGCGTGCAGGGTGGGGTGGGGTGTTCCTTTTAAAGGAACCAAACCTTTAATATTTCTGATTAATGTATTGAAATGATTGACACTGGTGGGGGTGGGGCGAAGAGGGGACGGGGAGGGAAGGAATAACTAGTGCTCACTCCTCCATTGATAGCTGTAATTTATAGCTTTCAAAAATGATGAGAGTAAGCAAGTTTCTAGTGACATCTCATTTAAAAATAGCTTTAA